CTTGCTCTCATATTGAGCATTAACCGTATCTTTTTAATCGTTGACCAAAGAGGTGACATTCGTAAGCAAGAATCTACAATCTGTGCTCGGGTTCTGTGCCTCACGGCCGGTAATACTTGTCTAAATCACCCCCCAGAAACCATTATCTTTTCACTGAATGGGAGTGCCACCCCTATGATGTCTTGAATTGAAAAAAAAAATTCCTCTGTGCTCTATTATTTAAGGAAATTAAGAAATTTATGTAAAAAGACATGAACATGAGAAAAGTAAAAAATTTAAAACCTCCATTTTAAATGATCAAGTTCAAGAAAAAAAATTGAAATAAATACATTATTTAACATTTTCATTTTAAATTATTAAGTTTTTAAATTTCTTTTAAAAAATAAATCAACGGACATTTAGAAATTGGTTATTTACATTATTTTAACTTAAAAAAACTATGTGTAACCGGTTAGTAATGTTTTAAATTAACAGAAAAAACCTAAATCAGTTTTATCGATCGTTCCTAAACCCTACATTATTCAAACCTCTTGCACCCAACGACACTGCTTCTACTCTCCTTTGCCACCCCAAGCTGCCTCGTCGTCGTCCGCTCTCATTTTTTAATCTATTTATACGTACCCAACTAAATTGTTGGAAAAGAAAGAAAATCAAAAGACAAAAAAATCAAAAAGAAAAGATCTGGCAGGGGCAACGACAACCGCAAGCAGCAAAAGGGAGCGATGTTGTGGTTGCAAGAGCTATGAAAAGTGTAGGATTTGAAACAATGTAACTATTTGGGTTGTTCTTATATTTTTAAATTTTTTTAATCAGTTACAAATAAATTTTTATTTAAGTTAAGAATGTAAATAACAAATTCTTAATTAAGAATCAAAATCTTAATAATTTAAAATAGAAAGGTTAAGGGGCCGTTTGCCAAACGCTTACCCGAGTAAGTATTTACCAAGTCATATTACCTCACCGGATGAATATGGTAAGGATCAAGAATCTTACCCGGTAAGAGCGAGACAAGGACCAAGAGTCTTACCCGATAAGTGAGAGCAACGACTCTTACCACGATAAGCGTTTACCGGATAAATTGTTGCATAGAATGTCGTTTTAGTAGACTAAAATCTTACCATTTAATTAAATAATAATGTTAAATTTTATTGGTAAACACTTACCAAATAAGTATTTGATAAACAACCCCTAACTATTTAATCATTTCAAATAAAGAATTCATTCTTTTGCTCGAATGAATAATATTTAAAGTGGCTTAGTTAATTAACCATCAAAAAACCTATATCAGAAAAACACAATTATTTAATTTCTTCAATCTGTATCAATATTAATGATGGCCAAACCGACCCGGCCTGGCCCGGGACCGGTAATGATTGGTTATAGGATCTAAATCTAGGATCGATTATGGACTTTTAGGGTGCGTTTTGAATGTAGAACTAGACAGTAGAAAGTTTCTAGGTTAAAACAAGACAAATGTGTGGGATAAAAATATATTTTGTTTGTCTCACCAAAACCAGGAAAATCATATAAGATTGAAAAATTACTAAATTACACATGTCAAATTAAAATCTTAAAACATTCCACTATTATTTTATCCTGTCTACTACACCTTTCACTAGTCCGTCCTGTTCAGTTATGTCCAGTTTCATCAAACACACCCTTATAAAACCCAAAAACAAAAAATGTAAACGAAATGGCTAGCGACCATTCATGCAAAAAGAACTATAGTAAAATTTCAGGTGGAACCATGTATACGGGTTTTATATACTTCTTTCGTCCTAAAATAAATGTCATAATAAAAATTAAATACAGTTTTAATAAAATGTAATTGTTATACCATTTAATCAATTACATAACAATTGTATCCTTATTAATAACGGGAGTAATGAATTTCGAACTAAAATTTTGAATCAAATTATATTAGAAACGTGATAGTTTTAAGATAAAAGAATTATTTAATATATTACATCTTAGGCCAATAGAAAACCCATGTGAAATTTCCAATCAATTATTTCCGGTGTTTGTGTGTATCTATTTTGTCTTTAAATACAAGTAACAAAAAAGCAAATTTGATTGAAACTATGTTATGAAGTACTCTACAAACTATATATATATATACTAGTAGTGTATTCTTGTGATGCAGCGTGGGTGAATCACAATTCTGAAACATTAGTTTGATCTTGAATCATGAGTTTGTATTGTTATTTTGCAAGTCAACTAATATATAAAGTTGAAGGTTAATACGGTGTATTAGCAAGATCAAATGAAAAAATAATTGCACAAGT